TTTCAGGAACAGGCAAAGACGCTGTCTCCTCTGATTGTGAAGGCTCATAAACCCCGACAGAAACACGCACGTTTCTGCCTCGTTGATTTCAATTCACGAGAAGACCGCGATATTGCCTTCAAGGCAATAAAAGCTTCGGCGAAGAAAAGTGAAATGAAAATCGTTGTATCGATTCCACGCACAGAGAACTCGGAATTTGTCCAGGAGCTCGTTCAACGCAGAATAAATGCTTTAGAGAAGAAGAAAGCAAAGGCGCGTTTAAGACATGCGAGTAAATTAGCATTGCGAGCGAAAAATTTCACATCGTCGATTGTTATAACAAATCTGCCTCGAAGTGCCTCGAAAGCGGAGGTGCGCCGGTTATTCCCAACAGCGGTTGATGTGCAAATAAAACCACGAAAAGGTCACTTGATCGCTTCTAGTATAGCCGCAGTCACGTTACCCACGACAATGGAGGCGCGTGCAGCAGTAAAAAAGAAACAATCTTTGGGTGGAACGGAACTTAAAATTCGATACGATACGCAGCAGCTTAAGAAGCCCAGAAGTAAATCAAAGACCAAAGATAGACGGAAGGGTCCCAAGGGTTTGCAGCCTGCGGCAAAAAACTAAAAGAAATAAAATTTAAAATATTAAAACTGTCCAAGAAAAATCTAAACAATAAAAAAAATATTTAGTCGCTCTCGTATAATCTTCTATGATATAAAAAAAAATTAAATCTGTAAATAACGACTACAATATGGACCCAAAAATAAAAATCATAATCTAATGGTCTTATTCATAAAAAATAATGTAGGTTTAAAGAGCTTTATAAATTGACGTTTTCATACATTTTTCAATTTATAAAGCTTTTATTATAAAGCTACTTTATTTTTTATGAATAAGGCCATAAACGTTTAATTGGATCAGAAAAATAGATATCCAATTTTAACGGTTAAATTGATTTTTATTATAACCGTTTAACCGTTTAAGGTCCTTGGATTTCAACTGCAAGTACCAAAACTGCATCTTTCAACGGAAAATTACATAAATATTCCAAAACGAAAGTGCCAGAGCCACATCCCCATAACGAATTTCTTGAAAGTATTAAATAGTTTGTTCACATATTTTAGGATTTATTTCAAATTATAAAGTAAACCGGCAATACATAATTATAAATGCGAATATATAGTACATATTTGAATCGCATTAGTTCAATTACGTAGTTTTAAGCAAGTGATAGTAAATTAATTTATTGCATTACACATGTTCAGTAATACGCTTAGTGTGCATGCTTGCTGTTCCATGAAGGTATGCGCATTTGTTTTTAATATAATATGCATACATATCGTCACCTGAAATGCAAAAAGTCGGTAACTCATAAAAAATTCAAAATTCACTTTTTGTTTGATTTCATCAAATTACAACTCACTCCCCACATCGTTTTATGCAAAAAAAAAATAAAAATTTTACGACTTTTTCCCATTTCAGTGACGATGATGATACGTTATTTTGCATTTCAGGTGACGATATGTATGCACTGCATTTTTTTCTAAATACATACATGTTTATGTGATTTAATTTTGTTTAAACAAGTATCTACACCTCACTTAAGTTACTCATACACAATTGTTTCGTAACAAGATAAACACCGCCAGCACTTTGATTTCATTAAGAAATTATTAAACATTTTTGCCTGTTTGCACATCCATACATTGGTTTATTTTTGTATGGGTACGTTAAAATATATTTAGTACAGGTTTTCGAGCACCAATTTCAGTAATAGAAGGAGCGACATCTTCGAATAAACCAAGGTTGCATATTCATTGCACTCGATTTAGGGAATCTAAATGATAGTTTATGGAGCATTATGTGACTTTTTAACAATCCTTCAATTAAAACAAAAAAAAATAGTCTTCATTCTGGTTTAATTAAACAGTCGAGCCGCCTTTAATATTTAGCAATTACTTTCAAATCCATATTTTCATACTAATGTACGGAAAATTTAAATGAAATTTCATTAAAATAACCCGAGTAAATAAGCGGCAAACCAGCTAACACTCCTAATCCAAAGTTTTTTCTATTTTTAAAGTAAATTTTACCTTTGGGATATTAGCGGAGAAGATATTAGAAACTTTACGCATTTTGTGTGGCATAGTTTAACTACATTATGTATGCAGTTTTTGTTTTACATAGAGTGCAGAAAGATATTTATTACTGTTGTTGGATATACACAGATATTTAATTAGAAAGAGGGAAGTTTACTTAATACATCCATTATTTACTTTTCAGTATTTGATTATGTTTGCAGCAACCGTTGTCGAATGGATGGTGACGATGGTGGAGCAGCGCCGGAGGACTCTGCCGATGGAGCGGGTTGTGGTGGTGATCGCAACGGAAACGAGGGCTGTACGAAACGCACACGTTCGACGTCTATGCTGCTTGAATTGGACGGCGCTGTGTTGGCTGCTGCTTTAAATGCCGACGTAAAAGCAGTGGCGGCTCAAAGGGTGTGGTAGTTGCGCTCGTTGCGGGCCTTGTAAAATTTGTAGGCAACCAAACTGATGGCCAAAATGCCCAACGTCAATACTATACCACCAATGAAGGATGGAAAATCAAAATGATTGCATGGTGGACGCGGAGTTGGTGGTGCAGCTGTTGTGGTCGTAGTTGTTGTGCTGTTGTCTGGCGCAACAGTTGTTGTGCTGTTGTTTGGCGCAACGGTTGTTGTGCTGTTGTCTGGCGCAACGGTTGTTGTGGTGGACGTCGATGGAGTGGTAGTGGTAGTGTTTGGCGAAGCTGTGGTAGAAGTGGTCGGTAGGGTTGTTGTTGTTGGAGGAGCAGTTGTAGTGGTGGTGTTTTGGTCAGGTGCTGCCGCTGTAGAAGTTGCAGTTGCATTTTGATCCGTTGTTGATAGAGTTTCTTTAGTGTTTACTGACTCCTGTGTGGTAGTAGTAGGATCTGCAGTAATTGTCTCTGTTGATGCTTTCAAGCTCGTTGAGTCGTTTTTGGTTGCAACAGAATCAGACGGTGTAAGATCTTTGACATTTGCCGTTGATTTATTGTCATCAGTCGCATTTCTAGGTGCTTTAAGTAAATAAAATTAAAGATTATATTTTAATTTATTTATTCATTTACACCAATCGGCTTTACACTACATCCTTATTAGCTGGTATAAATAACTACGTATATATAAGTAAAAGGTAAAAATGTTATTAAAATTTCTTAAATATGTACGAAAGACTAATAACGCACACCCAAAAAAGTTAATGGCTGCACAACGACTATTAGATCTTTGCGATACAATTTGTCGGAGCAGAACTTGGCAGCTATGTATATCAATTGTTAAATTGAATTCCGAATCATTACTGTAAAAAGGTGAATAACTTAAAGCTTAAATTGAAGAAACTCAATACATATACAGAAGATAGGAAACTGCAATGGAAAGGCTCGGCATTTTTTATTAAAACATATTATTATCATACGTGTGATATATGTATGGCCGTTAACCCGTACCTTTAAAAATCTTCCAGAGAGATACGATTGTATCCAGCGCTTTGTTTTTTGCACCGTATCGACTCAGCTTATTGACAAGTAACGGTTGTCAGAAAACATGTACAGTTATTCAATACTATGACAAGATTTTATTAAGTTTCGCCTGCAAATCTTGCAATTAGTTTTTAACCAGCATCCTGACTATTTTTTTATCGCCCGATATGGTTCATATTTGAGATTTTTTTTTGTGGAGGGAGTTAGCATTTTCTTCCACATAAAAGTAAGTTTTGTTCATGCATTATATGGAAAAGAAAATGCGCAACACCCTCGACAAAAAAAAAAACAAAAATCAACGGTAACTTTTAGCGACTTGAAACTTGCATTTTATTATACTAAAATTGAAGGGACTATAAAATTGCATACTCGAAATCTTTTTAAGAAAATCTAAATTTTGATGAACATTTTTTTTTTAATTTAATTAGTTTTTTTTGAACTTTGTGCAAGTTTTAATACTTTTATGTATATATGTGGTATCTGATATATGTAGATCGACCCATATTTTCAATGAAAATTATTAATTATTATTAAAGATGAGTTGCCAACAGCATCATTTTGAATTTTGCTGCTTTATTTTGACCGTAGCTGTATATCGCTGCCTGAGTGGAAGATCGACCTATCTGGGCAGCCAGTTCGAAAACGCCCTATCTCAGAAAACTTTTCAAGAGCGCCCTACTTCAGAATTTGATTGTAAAACGCCCTATTTCAAAATTCCGTTCAAAAAATAACCTGACTGATAACTGAAAATTTACTGAAAATGTGCTGATATAGGGCGTTCTTCGATCAAATTCTGCGGTAGGACGTCGTTGGAAAGTATTCTGAGATAGGGCGTTTTCGAACTGGCTGCCGACATAGGTTGATTTTCCACTCAGGTGTCGATATGTATAACATATGTAAATGGAAGGAAATAACTCCATAAAAAATTTAGCCATTAGGTGGTGTGCGGATCCAATGTTCTCTAATAAAAGCTTGTCAAAAAGTTTTGTAACTACTTGTTTTGCTTATGTTAATCATTAATAAATGTGTATGCGCAATATTAATAAATTTGTATTCGATTATTCAACCAGTTTTGAAAATTCAATAATGAAATCCGATAAGACTTTTTTTCATATAAAATTGCAAACCTTCTCCAGTGAGTCATTGTGGGTATGTATGTACGTTTTGCAAATAAATATATGAAAGTATCAAAACAAACAAATACATTTGTATAGTGTACATATTTAGTTTTCAGCGCAAAATAAACTTATCAGCAACAAACACAAAGACAGATTTTCGTTCTTTTGTCCACTGCAAAGCGTATACATATCGAGACCTAACCGCCAAAATAACGTAAGCGACATTTTTTTCAAAATTTACTTTTTGATGCAGAAATGCATCTAGATGCTCTAGGAATATTTCTGCATCAAAAAGAAAATTTTGAAAAAAAATGTCGCTTACGTTATTTTGGCGGTTAGGGCTCGATATCGTCGTTTAAAGTACAAAACCGCGTATCAAGATAAGGTATTATTATTATATATATTTATTTTCTAGAGAGTATAAACACTCATACTTCATAAGGGTTCTCTTTTTTTTTATAAAGCAATCGCATTTCTGGCTAGTATATTTCAGGACGAATGGATAAGGATTGAGCCAAGAGCTTGTGTGAGCAAATCCAATTTTTGGCAGCTAATGTAAGTTACGCAGTTTTGCAGAATGGCGATACGCGGGTTTGTACTTCAAACGATGATATGTATTATGTACATATCGAAGGTCGTCGGCAATAACGATAGAACACAAAACTAAAAAATCCTTACTACCTACTGTTTATAATCCTTATCTTAAGAACTTTAACAGAAGTATGGGCTTCGTTTTTTGAGTTATGTCGTTATTACAGAGAATACATACATACATGTACTGTGGTACTGTGATATACATATCGCACACCGTCTTCAAAAGTCACAACTCAATATAAAACGTTCGTCAGAAAATGCGAAAAACTATTTCGTAGCACATGCTAATCATATGGTTTTTTTTAAACAAATTATAACAAAAATTTACTCCAGCTTTTGCTGAAAGGTAAATAAAAGCTGTGTGTACATTTTTAGCGCATATTTTCAAAAATGCCAAATTTGGAGTTGTGACTCTTTTGAAGACGGTGTGCGATATGTATGCATATATGTAGAAAGATACGTGGGCCACTGCCTTAGTTCTATATTTAATTTCCAATCGTTTGAAACGTCGAGTTATTTCTTTTTAATTATACAACGTATATATGTATGTATATTATACCTTGACAATAAGCAGATGACCAAAGTCCTGCCAGAAGGCAGCACAACAGCATTCCCGTCATCGATGATTTCATGTTTGATCCGATTCTTTCAACAAAGGATTTTCTTGGCGTTTGCTACAGTGCACAGATATTTTCTCGCAATAATATCCACAGGTTCAGGCAGAATGCAAATCCACGCAATTAATTACGGACATCAGTTTTGTAGTATTGCGTTGTTCGAATCTTCCGATTAGTACTAAATTTGCTGCAACAAAAGAAGGGTGATTAAATGCGTAAACAAGAAGATGGGCGGAGAAATGCAGGCAACAGTGATTTTTCGTGCTGCAGAATTATCACCCTCGTATATGGACTTTTATTGTCTTATATATATGTATATATATTCTGCATAAAGGAGAGTTGTTGATGATTTATTATCCGCAACAATTGATTTCAAATAATTTGCTTATTTACTAACCACTTTTATCTTTGCAACAATAAATATATCTATGGAAAATGATATCAATTAATCGCCTATTCTCCTGAAAAGATTAGCTGACTGGCTGGAACTAGGAATGTCGAAAAAACATCAATGCATCGAAAATATCGATGTCTGGCTCCGATGCATCGAAATTTTTCCACTCGATGTATAAATAGGCGATGTATCGATGCATCGATGTTTTTTCAGAACTGACGTATGTAGTCATTGAACCGTCTAAAATGCATGGTACAAATGAATTGTACAATTGTACAAGAGAGGTAACTTTGACCAAACTATTCAAATGGCTATAAAAAATTCCGTTAGAAACATTACTACTCAGTTGCAGTATTTTATATCTAACTTTGTACGATTTTGCTAATAACATCGTTGTGAAACATCATCTGCAAAATCTTATGCAAATCGATGCATCGATGTATGGCCTTTGATGCGTCAGAAAATATCGATGTACATTTCGATGCATCGAATCAAAGAAAAAGTCGATGTGTTTTTGGCACTGCCATTTCTAGCTAGATCTAGAGTGCAGAATGGATTTCGTTAGTGTTGCCGTACCATTTTCAATATAACTAAGGAGCCAAATACACCACGCAAGTAGTTTTTCAAATATGACGAAATTTTTTGTAACCGGAAATTTAGTACCAAAAAAATTACCAGTGTTAAAATTCAGAGGTTAGATCCCACGCCCAAAGTCTCAAAACGCATTTATTGTTGTGTAACGTTTGAAATATCTGCGGATTCATTTTATTCCTTGAGTTTAACTTCAATTACATATGTTCAATATGTACTTACTTTGGTATTTAGAAGGATCTATTCTGATTTACTTTAAAGAATTCGATTTATATAATTTTAAACAAGTTGAAAAAGTCTAGTCTCTTTTGGCGGTGAAAGTCAAACCAAATGTCAAAAACGGGAAACGTCCCCAAACAAATTTCAATCAAGCAACTGCGGTGTTGCCGTATTTTTGTCAACACTCCTCCCCGGTATATCCTACGGATTTACCCGATCCTGCGGAGCAACAATAGAAAGAACGGCAAGTCGCGTTGCTGGTCTCTCATATATGTCGGCGCTAGTCTTTACCACGGCGCTTCTTACTTGTTGATCAGGGCATACCCTGACTGAAATCACTCGACCCTTCGGCAAAGAGTTTCTGGGTCCATTGGGATTCACTATATCGTGTATATAGTCTCCTTGCTCAATCGGTTTTACGGCCTCGAACCACATAGTGCGGCGCGTTATCACCGGTAGATATTGGCGCACCCAACGCTTCCAGAATAAGTCGGCCAATTGTTGTGCATATCTCCAGATTATTCTCATTGATTCTGGCCTTCTAGTATGCTCGAGTAGCGGTTTCATCCCGTTAGAACTACCCAGGAGAAAATGGTTTGGTGTGAGCGCTTCGTCTTCGCAGTGATCGAGAGGTATGTAAGTCAATGGTCGTAAGTTTATGATCGATTCAACCTCCATTAAACCGCCGCGGAGCAATTCGTCGGAGGGACGTGATGCTAGCAATACCCTCGACAGGTTGTCCTTCACTGAGCGCACGAGGCGCTCCCAGGCACCGCCCATATGCGGTGACGCCGGTGGTATGAATTTCCACTGCATAGAGGAATTCGTAAAGGTGCTTTGAAGCTTTTCCTTGGTATTTCTCTGAAGGCCGTGGTGAGTTCTCGCTGCGTTGCTTTAGAAGTAGTGGCGTTGTCACTCCGGATCTCGCATGGTACCCCTCGTCGACCCATAAAACTTCGAATGGTGAGAATGCACGAATCCGTAGACAACGAATAATCTATTTCTAAGTGCACGGCTCTCGTCGTGAGGCATGTGAAGAGCACTCCATACCTCTTCTCAGTACTCCTGCGTACCGCTACTAGTAGAGGACCGAAGTAATCTACCCCCACGTATGTGAACGGACGAACGAATGCTGTTACTCGTGCCGGGGGTAGACAGCTCATTTTCGGTGGTCGTGGCTTTTTATTGCGAAGCTGACATACTTGACAGTCACGACGTACCTTTTTGACCACTGCTCGTAGTCGAGGTATGTAAAAAATTTGCCGTAATTCATTTATTACTGTCTCTGCGCTTCCGTGGAGTTACTTGATGTGGTAGTCCAGAACAATCAGGCGAGTTATGTTATGGTTTCTAGGCAATATAACTGGATCCGGATGCCCTATCAGACTGAGCCTGCCCCTGAGTCGTAGGACGGAGACCTCATCCAAGTACGGTGAAAGCTTATATATAGAGCTCGTTCGGCTTACTGGTTTTCCCTTCGAAAGTACGGCGATTTCATCCCCAAATACGTCCGACTGAGCCTCTCTCCACAAATGTATTTCGGCGCGCTTAAGGTCATCTTGATCAATTGGTTGACGAAGCGAAGGACTTAATTTGCGGTAGAGCCTCCAGATACGAATACTTAGAAATACTGTTGCCGTTACACGCAGAAGGCGAGACCATCGAGAGAAACGTTCGTGTATTGCCAGGTACTCGTGATGTGGTAGGGCAGCGCCATGGTAACCTACATATCGAGATCTAAGCTCTTCGTAGGTTGTTTCAGTGCTGTCTATGTCGTTTGGTCGCTGCCGTCGCAATAAGTGCGGTCCTCTGGACCATCGACTTTCGCTAGAATCTCCGGTGATGTGGACCATTTGGTAGCATCGTCTGCCACATTTTACAGTGAAGGAAGCCATCGCCAAACCTTCACCTCCGTAAGCTCTAACAATTCGCTTACTCGGAACGCAACGAACTGAGAGTAACGACGATGATCAGAATGGATCCAAGCTAAAACGGTGCGAGAGTCGGTCCTGCAGCTAATCTAGCGCCTAAAACAGCAGCCTGCAACTCAAGTCGCGGGATTGATAACATTTTCAACGGTTCCACCTTTGCTTTGCTACCCACTAGCGCACAGTCGACGATTCTCTTGTTGTTGTGGCGAAGATAGCGTACAGCCGAATAAGCGTTTTCCCTGGCATCCACGAAGACGTACATCTCCAGCTCGGACCCACACTCCACATTTTTAAAATAGTACCTCGGTATTTTTAAGGTCTCTATCTTGGGCAGAAGTCTCACCAATTTCTGCCAACTTAAATACTGTTCTTCGGGAATGTATTCATCCCAACCGCACCCAGATCGCCAAACTTCCTGCAACATTATTTTTGCATAAATGGCGTAGAAGTTTAGAAGCCCTAACGGATCGAAGATGCTCATGACTATACTTAGTACATCACTCTTTGTTGGACAGCGGTCATTAAGAAGCAGGTTCTTGTTTTTGTGATTTTGGGCCACGCAGAATGTGAAGCACTCTTCCTGAGTGGTCAACCATAGACCTAGAACCTTCTCGGCTGGTATCTTTTGGTCAGAGTTTAAACTTACTTCACGGTCCGTATTGTTGATCTTCAACGCTCGCAATACCCTCTCCGAGTTTGAATGCCAGTTCCTCATATGGAATCCACCTTGTTCATGAACGAAACTTGCGTCCCTGGCCAGCTGGATAGCCTCCTCCTCAGTGTCGACGCTGTCGAGCATATCGTCGACGTAGTGGTTGCCGGCAATACACTCCACGGCCCTCGGATGGCTGCTGCGAAATTCTTCCGCGTTTAAGTTTTTCACGTACTGAACGCTACTAGGTAAACAGGTAGCCCCGAACGTCACGAAAACTGACGGATTAACATCTCCTGACTCAAACCACAGAAAACGCTGGTAGTTCTGATCCTGCAACCCCCCACTCACAGCTACTGCTTCTGCCGGAACCTTCGCAGGACATATACCAGACACGTAAGCTGATCAAGTCCTTTCAAAAGCATGGAGTTGAGGGACACTCCCTTCGTTCTAGCGGCCGCATCCCAGACGATTCGAACCTTTTGCGGCTTATTTGGGTTACGTACACGAAATATCGGCAGGTACCAACACCCCTTTTCCGATAACGCTCCGTCATCTAGAGGTTTGGCGTACCCGTTGGCCACATAGGTTGCAATCGTGCCTGACACAATTTTGACAAGTTCCGGTTCACACGCGAGTTTTGCCTGCAAACATTTAGCTCTCCGCAAAGCAGATGGTAGGCTATCCCGGAGAGTGGCGTTGGCGTATTTCCAAATAAGGCCGGTTTCAAAGCGACCGTCGATGCGTTTCGTAGTTGACTTCAATATCGATTGCATATTCGTCCTCCTTAGCCGTTAGGTTGTTGAATGACTTCGAGGTTATCTAAGCATATATAATCCTTGACCACTTGCTGCTGCTTTCCAGTAACCCCTTTCAGCGTCCACCCCATACGCGTCTTTTCGGATACCGGCTCGTTATCGCTGCCTTCACGTGCGCGGAGACTTAAGCCTAGACGGCTATTGTTGAGGCCAATTAGCAACTCGGGCACAGCGTTTACATAGGAGGGCAATGGTAGGCCCTTCAAGTATGAGTATTTGGTTTGCAAATCGCGTGCATCGAGCGTCTGGGTTGGTAATTCAAGCTTCCGCACTGTGAGTACGTCTTTTAGCACATAACGTTTTTTAGTATCGGCTCCAGAAATATTTAAATCCATTACTTGGGAGTTATCCTCATAGCGGTGAGTATTAGCAGTCCATCTGAGGCATAAAGGTTGCGAGGCGCCCTTCTCTTGTAGTTTCTCCTGCAGCTCAACGTCCATAACCGTAAGCGCAGAGCCATCATCAAAGAAGGCATACGTCTGAAGTATTTTGTTGTTATTGAAGAGCGTTACAGGCAAAATCCGAAATAGAATTGAGTCAGTTGCACCATCGTGAGCATTAAGCACATGGTTAGCGAGTGGTGAGCTGACCGGGAAGGCCTGCTTGTTATGAAGCAAAGGATGGTGAATCGAAATGCAACCATCCGTTCCGCATACGGCAGTAGAAGCGCACAGAAGGCGGTGGTGCACCTTTAGACAGCGAAGACATATGGAATGCTGGCGTATAAGTCCCCACCGTTCGGACCTATTTGCACTCGTGAATGTGATACATGAGTCAAGAGAACCACAACATCCGTGGCAGACAATGCACGGTCCATTTCTCCCCACACTGACGTTACCCGCATGCGCATTCAAGTAGCCGCGTTTGGCAGTAGACTTCGCGGGGGTACAAGGTTTGAGCACGC